CTTTTTTTTTTTTTTTTTTTAATTCGTGAATTAACGCCCACTTCGTAGCCAGTTACTCTTATTTCTGCGGGTGTGGCCCGCACCGCCCGCACTACGGACGCTTAGCTAGTTATGTTAAAAAGATGAGAGGCCGGGAACCTCACAATTCCACCCGGATGTTATCCTGGCAGTCTCAGCCGGTTTAGCTTTTGACAGGACCCGGAAGGGGATCCGAGATAAAAATTTGTTTGATTGCTATTAATGAGGGACTTTTGAATAAGCCCGGACTGCTGTATCAGCTACAGATCTGTACTCTAAAAATAACTATAACTTGCTCATTTACCTACCTCATTAGCCTACCATTCACTTCTAACTCACACTGCGTAGGACAAAAACAACAGAGTTAACGGAGGGGGAGGAGTAGGGGTTCTAAATACTGTCATAGAGGGGAAGGAAGAAGGTAGATGGGAAGGGGAGAGGAAAGGAGGAGGGGAGAAAGGAGTACAGGCCTAAAGAACAGCCTGACCCCGACCTAACTTCGACCGAGAGGAGCAAAAACTTCTTAATAAGGTGACCTGACACTCTCATCCTTCCCAACCGCCTGCAACCTACTTCGACTGCCCACAGGAACCGAGTGTCCTGGTTTTGAGCATAAACAACCTGCCTTACGAGCCATCCCAAGTCCCTTTGCCTAATCGAAAACAACCAAGCTCCTTCTACCTTTACACACCCTCCTACGACTAAAGCCACGGTGAGATGACCAACCTGCTAGCAAGTGTGACTGCCGCCAACTGATTGTCCCTGGCCCAAGTCACTAGGAACCAGTGTCTGCCCCTGGTGGACTCGTTCTTTGCTGACTTCCTATTCTAGTCAACCTGGATCATGACCTTGATTCAAACTTTGATTTTCAATGTGAGTTTTGCATCTGCTGTCCATTGCTGCTTGAAGAGGACATTGTTGTGGTCTTCCCAAATAATCCACATCAGGATGGAGCGAATTGCCTGAGCAACATAGCCCCTCCCTGCATGCTTGAACCATGAGGTTGGGATGCGGCCGTGCAGGACCCATGTTTCATCCCACTTAAGTAGATCTCCGGTGAATTGCAGCCAATGGTGCTCTACCCATCTCTATATGCGTTTGGATGTGGGGCAGGCCCAGAAGAGGTGAACGAGAGTCTCTTTCTCCTTGCCGCCACAACGTTTACATTTGGTGTCAATGTTTGGTGAAGGTGTCCAGCGAAAGAAATGGCCAAAACCAGACCGCTATCCTGATAAGAGCTTACTATGCTGCTGCTTTGCGGGCTGCGAATAATAATAAATGGGAATAATTGCATTCAGAATTAGAATAGACTAGCGGAGGGGCGGGCAGAGGTGGACATGAGGGGATTGAAGGTTTCCGGGCGATCAGGAAGATGTTTTGTCGAGACCGCTATTCTGTGAAGGCAAAACCGAAGTCCCATATGAAAGCGAGGAAAATTTGAACGTGACCTACCTGATCAGGCATGTTTTGTCGAGACCATATGCTGACGGTCTTTCGCTGCCATGTTGCCGAAGGGGAAGGGTGAAGCAACGGCCTATCATAGCCCATTGTTTTTTTTTTTTTCTTTCAATAGAAGGCCGACGGCCTTGATAAGTTATTCATTGTATTGATGGCCCCAGCCTACCGGTATCCCGAACCTTGCCGAGCCTCGAGCTAGTACCGGTAGGTACACATAAAACAATAAAATAAAAAAAATC